AATTTGCATCACTCGATAGCAGTCTATAAAAATCTAGGAAAGGAATAATGCGGTCGTGCGTTAGATATTTCATAGGTGATGTCAATATCAATTTATTTTTAAATTGTAAAAATATATATTTAAAAAACGGAGTGGGAGAAGAGTGGTTGACACTTAAGCTCTAACTTTAAGTAAACACAGGCCATAAATTCGGAACAGTCGGACAACAAGAAAATAAATTTAAAAAATGCGCATTAACTGACAACAGAAATTAAATAATTTCAAATAAATATTTGGTCTCTTTTTAAAGGTATGCATTGGCGTATTTGAAAGACTGAAATAAAAATTCAAACATCTAAACACTGAAACACCAAAACACCTAAACACTGGAACACCTAAACATTGAAACACCCAAACACTGAAACCCCCAAACAATGATACACAATACAATACATAGAGTAAAATTGTAATAGTATACTGTTTAACAGCAGTCAAGGGAAAGTGATAACATGTTTCATTTTCCAATAGGCTTTTAAAAAAAAAATTTAATCAACATTTTTAATATGAATAATTTTTCACGTGTAATCACGGCTGAGGGGGAATCACGACTGAGATGGGTTCACTTGATGAGACAGTTTCATACCATAATCTGAACAAGGGATTTACTTGATGAGATAATTTTATTATGCAATCTGAACAAGGGATGAGAGAGTTTCATACCACAATCTGAACAAGGGATGAGAGAGTTTCATACCACAATCTGAACAAGGGATGAGAGAGTTTCATACCACAATCTGAACAAGGGATGAGAGAGCTTCATACCACAATCTGAACAAGGGATGAGAGAGTTTCATACCACAATCTGAACAAGGGATTCACTTGATGAGACATTTCTTTACCGCAAACTGAACAAGGGATTCACTTGATGAGACATTTCTTTACCGCAAACTGAACAAGGGATTCACTTGATGAGACAGTTTCATACTGCAATCTGAACAATATTGTTTTATCTAAGGATTTGTTTCATTTTCATACAAACAGACTAGAGCAAACATACTAAGCGCATGTCTATGGCCTCAAGAAACTGCACTCGTCTCACTGTCTTTCAAGTAGAGCACACTTTTACTTAAAAAAAGCAGGCTTGTAACAGACCATAATACTTAGCACTCAAATGAAGTTAATGTTCTCTGTTGTTTACTGACATAAATTAAGAATTATAGCTTTTTTAAATGATCAGTTTCAAATGCTAAATTATAAACTAAACTTTCCCACTTTTCAAAGAAGCTTTCAAGTGTTTCTTCTGTTTACCAGTCAACAGCCTTCCTTCTTGAGGTCAAAATAAAATATTCTTTTGGTCAAGCGCTTGTCTGACATTCTCGCACCATGGCCCATCCAGCCAAGCTGGGACTGCATTAATAAGGCGTGTATGCTGGGGTGACTTCGGTGTCTAGGATCTTGTTTTACCATATGTTGCTTAGGATTTTTTGGAGGCGTATCGTATCATGTGAAAGTGGTTTAGTTTCCGTACATGGGGCTGATAGACTGTCCGTGTTTTATATGCATATGATAGCGTTGGGGTACAGCTTATTCTTATAATGTTATAAATGCTTTAGACAAAACATTGGAGAACCACTGATCTAAAGTGTGTGGTATAACTTACCTAAAATCTAAATATGTGTTGGGCATTGTATCATATAAACTGTGTGCCATAATTGGCCTTAAATCATTTCATTCCTCTATTCTACTTTTGTAACTGACCAGAACTTTCTCTAGTATGTAACTCAACACAAGAATGGCGGTGCGCATAAAACTATAAATGTGACGTATTATGTCACTGGTACCTTGCAGATAAAGCTATTTGTGATGTATTTAGTCAGTGCTATGTTGCAAATAAAACTATGGAGATAATATGTTAAGCCACTGCTATGTTGCTGATAAATCTAACGATTTGACGATTGATGTAGGGTAAATAGTTTCATCCGTGATATATAAAAGCATTTTGACCACTGCAATTTACAGATACAAACTTTAGATTCGATTGACAGAACTAAACTACTACTGTGTTTTTGTATTATTTATGACATTAACAGTTATAAGTAGACATAGTATTTAAAACTTGCCTTAGTCCTTTCTTCAAAAACTGTTTTGTAAACTTTATTGTTTAAAAGACGCATGCAGATTTAACTTTCAATTTGTTTACAAGAATCTTTCTTTCCTTGCACAGCTGGCGACCCTTGGCCCCAGCCTACGTATTGATATGGTGTGTGTTGTTTGGTGTGCCCTCAACAATGGAACCACACTACCATTATGTTTAGACGGTGTGGATTGACACAAGTACAGCAGAAAGTATTTTACCTTGTTCCTGGTTGAGCCCAACTCCACATCCTTCGGCCTCAGACATGCCTAATACGTCTTCAACTTCAATAAACCATTAACATCACTGATATGTGTTATTCTTATAATAACTAAAAATTGTAATGGAAATGAAGGGAATAAGAGATTAGAAGATTGTGAGTTAGAACAACAACTTACACCGTCAGAAAGAACTAAATTGACCTCTGAAACATTATGGTCAAGCAATGCGATATAAAACTTAGTTGAACACTTCCACATTATAGTCAAGCTGTGCCAGATAGAACTAAGTTGACCTGAATGATTCCAAAAATAATAATTTACCTGGCATTACTTTGTACAAATGTGATCAAATTTCATCAATTTCTATTCTGAATAGACATAATGTTATGCACAATTATTATTTATTTAAACATTTTTATTTCAACTTTAACATAGGCTTTAATATCCAGCAATCTGAATTAAAATGTTTCTCAGAGACTATATCTGTAGTGTGGAATGCATTTCCTGCTTGACTGCACAATCCATCACCGTTGATTGAATACAATACAGAAATCTGTTGATCAAAATAGGTCAAACATCATGAGTTAAATGTAACATTTAGTTACTAAGAGATTAAAAGTTAACACTTAGTCCAATACATTTCCTTACAATTTTACAATAAGTTCTAGTGGATCATGGTGGGATAAGAGATAGGGAAAATAAAATAAATTTGAGTAGTTAATTTTTTTGATAAAACACCTAAGAATAATAAATGGGAAACAAGAATTATATGACTTTGAACACACTTCTCTTACAGTATTGAATAACTGAATCATTGTTAACTCTTAACTTCACTGACGAAGGAAGACAACTCTGCATTAAGAGCAGGTTTAATCAAGAAGAAATTAATAAATAAAAAAATCTCAACTCGTGACATAATTAAATGAAACAAAGATCACTGTATTCAGAAAGGTAGCCTGGTGCGAATATTTAACATTGGATCATTTTGTAATTAACTGATTTGTGTTACATGAAATCAAATGTCGAAATGAGGAACAAAATGAAAAGGACGAAAATATTTGCCTAAAAAGAACTTTTAGTTATCTTAGTTTAGATTTTTTGAAATCTGCAGTGCACTTTACATAAATCCACATGGGACAACCTTAAGAAGTTTCTATGAGTTTATTTCTAGGAAACTTTCACTTAGCCCCTGAACTCTCATAGCTTGTGTTTTTCCTGATATACATTCTATTTTTTAAAATATTGTATGGGAAGTTGTGTAAGATTTTGGTAGCTCTGGGCTGTCAGTTACAGCATAGTGCATTACAGATGATCCAGCCATGAGCTGCCCAATCCACTAAAGCCAAAAATCCAAGACTGTCTTAGTCTTAGAGTTCCTCCTACGATGTCGTTAAGTCAACTGTTTATGGGCAGCCTGAAGCAGAAACAATAGTGGAGACCTACACCAGTTCCTCCTAGGATGTCGTTAAGTCAACTGTTTATGGGCAGCCTGAAGCAGAAACAATAGTGGAGACCTACACCATTTCCTACATCTTATGCCAATTGGATCATAGGTATGTACTGATTGCAGACATCTACAAGGTTTGTGCCATTGTTTTAGGTGGGAACATGTGGTGATATCTGATAATTGTAACCAGGTGCTGGTATCAGGATATCAACATGTCCAACAACTGTATTGCCGTTCATAGTTGGCTGCAAAATTGTCTACGAAACTTGGATTGGCCTTTCATCATGAAAGAAACATGTAATAAGGTTTCCTATCTGTTTTACCTTCACTACTGATTCAGTTGATGATTTTTGTGCCTTTCCCCATCATTTACAAGAGGGTCCAGTCCTATGATTTACAAAGGGCCCAGCACCATCATTTACAAGAGGGCTCAGCCCCTCCATTTACAAGAGGGTCCAGTCTCATCATTTACAAGAGTCTCCAGTTCCATCATTTACATGAAGTCCCAGTGCGATGATTTAAAAGAGTGCCCAACACCGTAATTTACAAGAGGGTCCAGTCTCATCATTTACAAAGGGCCCGGCTCCATCATTTACAAGAGGGGCATCGGCCCATCATTTACAAGAGGGCTGAGGCCCATCATTGATAAGAGGGCCCAACCCCATTATTTAAGGGAGGGCCCAGCCCCATCATTTACAAGAGGGCCCAGCCCCATCATTTACAAGAGGGCCCAGCCCCATCATTTACAGGAGGGCCCAGCCCCATCATTTACAGGAGGGCCCAGCCCCATCATTTACAAGAGGGCCCAGCCCCATCATTTACAGGAGGGCCCAGCCCCATCATTTACAGGAGGGCCCAGCCCCATCATTTACAAGAGGGCCCAGCCCAATCATTTACAAGAGGGTCCAGACCTATGATTTACAAGAGGGCCCAGCCCCATCATTTATGTAAGTTTGCAGAAAATTAAAAGCAATTTTTGAAATCATGATTTCTCATGGCCGTATCAATGTAATGACAAAAATAGTTAGTAAGCTCCCTTTGCTCTGCTTTCCCTTTAAAGAAAATAGTTCCATTGCTGTCTACCAAATCGTAACATTATATTCTGTGGAGTGCTGTGGCCTTTAAAGACTTCAATGGATTATCAAAAAAGAAAATGAGCTTATGTTAAATTTGATAATGTAATACATTTTATTGTTAAAAAGACTTAAATTTCAATGTCTCACCATGATATGCCAACATTGAGTGATGTTTGATAAGCAGCAGATGTGTCAGTCCTCAGTATCTCTCTCAGAGCCATTGTAGCATAGCATGATGATGGAAGCTTGAGCTTACACGCCACTGCTCTGTACTTGGCTGAACAAATAGATTTATGAAATCTCTTGTTACTTATAGAAACACATTAGGAGCTCACAATGAATCAGTACCTATGAATATCAATGTCTTGGTGTGTTGGTAACTTCTTTCTTTAACAGCATGATTCAGGGGAACATTTATTGAAGTAGTGTTAAAACAATTTGCCTAACTAAATGACAACATTTATTTATAATGTTATATTTATTTTGGGTCGGTGCTGTTGTAAGTCACAAAACACATTTACTAAGTTCAATGGAAATAGGGGTCTTAACTTTTGTATGTGGATTAATGTCTATTCTGTTACACGGATAGATTCTTCAATTATTATAAGCAGAAGTAGTTATCCAAAAACATAACACCAATTTTTGTCAACATGGGAAGGTGGCCTTTCAGGGGGTAGAACAGAGGAGACACGCAGCTTTAAAATTATGATATAAATATTTATACATAATGAACTATTGTTTTTGCTCATATATAAATGTAATGAGTGAATTGTTTGAATTGTTAATTTTGGCAAATACTAAATTTTAAAAATGTCTTCATAAAATTTCCTTGATGTGTTCAGTCACAAGTTTATTTTCTAAGTTCTACAGTCCTCTTTGCAGTGGAATAAATAAATCTAAAGTCAAATTATTTTCTAATTTTAAAATGCTCTATTACTTTTGTTGGGGATGCGAGCTTAGTAATGTACGACATAATGTAAGGGATGTGAGACCAGTCAAATAGTTCAAAGGTGTCTGAGACTTAGTAAAACACAATGTAAGAGACTAGTCAAATAACTCATAGGGTGTCTGAGGCTTAGTAAAATATAACCTAAGGGATGTGAGACTAGTCAAATAATTCATACGGTACTAAGTAAAACATAATGTAAGAGACTAGTGAAATAACTCTAGTGTGTCTGATACTAAGTAAAACATAATGTAAGTGATGTGAGACCGGCCAAATAATTCATACAGTATCTGGGACTAAGTAAAACATAATATAAGAGACTAGGGTGTCTGAGACTTAGTAAAATATAACATGAGGGATGTAAGACTGGTCAAATAATTCATACGGTATCTGAGACTTAGTAAAACATAATGTAAGTGATGTGAGACTGGAGGTGTGCTGAATATCTACACAATGTTTCTAAACACTGATCTAAACAACATTTTAATCATTGTAGTTTGATCAAAGGGAAAGATAACATGATTTCAAGCCTTTAGAAAAATTAATCTGCAAGGTTTTAATGTGGAACTTGCGATAAACAAAATGAATCTGCAGGTGTTTGATGTGGAACTTGCAATAAACATTTAACTGATAATGACTTAAATATTCAGTTCCTTTACGAGCAACATGTCCATATGTTTGGAATAAAAGAATCTGAATGTCTGGTACATATTTTAGCAGTAGCTATCCACTGACCATTGCTGCATGTGGCAGGTAGCTCTACTTTGTTGATAAGATCCAGATCACTCAATGTCAGGGGTGTAGTGTAGTCATCATAGGTGTGGTGTGACCACTCAACAGTGGATGGTAGAATGGCAACATGGCGATATGCACCAGGTAAGGAATAATCCCTGAAAGGACATTGCATTATTTCTCTCATGACATAAAGTTGAACAGGAAATGTAGTACTAAGATGAAGTATATTTTTATAAGCACCCATGAAGGTAGGATAATGTTTTGTAAGCATTCATATTTGAACTTATGGAAATAACATTGACTAAGACTTAGTGTCTCCCATCAATTCCAATTTAATTCAGTTTTTATAGCAGATTTACAAATAAGTCGAGTTTCATATTCTATAACCATGGAAGTTTTTTTTAAATGTATTGCAATGAAAATGTTTATCCCTTGTTAAATACAAGTTGTTTATGTCATTGACAGTTTAAGTAATTTTTATATTTAATCAATAACGGATGTGGGGTAATTAATTCAAAGGATATTAGATTCCCTGTTTGAAACTCAAGACTTTGCCCACTTTAAATTAGCACTGTGCATGAAGATCAAAGACTTGTTGAAATAAAAAAGCCATAATATAAAATGATTTCATTAGATCACATGTGTCAAACTCAAGGCCCTCCGTAAAATTATTTTAGGCCTGCAAGGTCTTGACCAGCATACCCTTATATCCAAGTCAACGCTTTGGTGTTTCCCAAAGCACACTTTGCTGAAGAACTTAGCTTACTTCGCGCCGAGTTCGCATGGCACTTTAGTGACTTTGTAGCAAAAAAATGTAATTTCGAGCTGCTTCGTAACCCATTAGTCATAGACGTGAAAACTGAACCTATAAATTTGCGGAAGGAACTAATAGAGCTGCAGTGTAATGGGACACTAAAGGCAAAGTAGAAAACAGTTGGGCCTGCTCAGTTCACTCATTTCATTCCTGAAAATATTCCCCAACTTTGTCTACATGTGGCTCAAACCTTGAGCATGTTGGGTAGCACATGTGTGAGCAGCTGTTTTCTGTGATGAAGATTAACAAAACATCGCACAGAGTCCATCATGAGAATCTCAATGACATAGAGCAATACTCCCAACATAAACGAACTTACTTTTTTTGTAGCCAAGAAAATGTGATAAAAATGGGAATGCCAATGATTTTTAATTATTAAAACTTTTTTTTGTTTTCATTTACATAAATGTTTTTTTTTAAATATTAATTTCCCGCTTATTTAATGTTTAACCTGTTTGGCTCGCAACCTTACATGTGATTTGAGTTTTAGCCCGCCGAGCAATTGAGTTTAACATCCCTGCTTTAGATAATCAGATAAACTCAAAATGGAAGGTCCTTCCTGTCACTTACTTTTGATGTCGTTTCATGTCGTCAATATTCAGGCCATCAGCCTCTAGTGTTGACCTGTACCAGTCACGAACTGAAATCAAAAATTTCTATGGCTTAGATGTTTGTCACAGATATGAATAGTGGACTGTGAGAACAACTGATATGAGATTACTATGGTGAACACAAGTCAATGTGAGAACAACTGATATGAGATTACTATGGTGAACACAAGTCAATGTGAAACTGCAACTGATATGAGATTACTATGGTGAACACAAATCAGTATGAGAACAACTGATATGAGATTACTATGGTGAACACAAATCAGTATGAGAACAACTGATATGAGATTACTATGGTGAACACAAGTCAATGTGAAACTGCAACTGATATGAGATTACTATGGTGAACACAAGTCAATGTGAGAACAACTGATATGAGATTACTATGGTGAACACAAATCAATATGAGAACAACTGATATGAGAACAACTGATATGAGATTACTATGGTGAACACAAGCCAATGTGAGAACAACTGATATGAGATTACTATGGTGAACACAAATCAATATGAGAACAACTGGTATGAGATTAATATGGTGAACACAAGTCAATGTGAAACTGCAAACTGATATGAGATTACTATGTTGAACACAAATCAGAGCCCATGCTGGCACAGAGGGTGGTAAAAATAAACAACAACTCAAATGGCTTGATTCTGGTCATGTTAGAACAGAAAATAAACTTTGTTGGACAGATGTGTTTTTGGAGTGGCAAGATGGATTAGAATTAAGCCGTTTGCAGTGTGATTGCACAGATTTTATGTTGCCATATATTTAATTCATTACATTGAATTTATGTGTATATAAACCTGTATTTCCTTATGGCATGTATATAAGTTAAAAGAATAAAGTCACTGTTTTATAGAAAAAGCAAGCCTCATTCAATTTCTGCAGTGACAATGTTGTCAGATCCTTAGATCCTTATTATCTTTACCTTTAAAAGGACAAAATTTATCATTTCCAATTTACTTATAGATATTTTCAACAACAGAAATGAATGACTCAAATGAACTTAATTTAAATCAAAGTAACTAGTAAAAATAAAGAACAGAACGCAATATGTCACCCCACTGAAGCAACAGTAACATTACCAGGCTCTCTACACAGTGGTAGCAGGTCCTTGCATGTCCCAAGTTGTTCCCAGCTACAGATAATAACCCATGTAGAATAATCGTGTAGCTCAGTATAGCAGCTTTTAGGAGGTAGGTAAGAAGCCATGTACAAAGCCTCAAGCACAGAAATCTGGAGACAGCTGAAAACTTTATGTGCTAAAAAGCTGCAATCAGATTTCTATGCTAAAATGGCTGCAGTCTTACTAGGTAAGCTGCAATCAGATTTCTATGCTAAAATGGCTGCAGTCTTACAAGTTAAGCATCAGATTTCTATGCTAAAATGGCTGCAGTCTTACCAGGTAAGCTGCAATCAGATTTCTATGCTAAAATGGCTGCAGTCTTACTAGTTAAGCATCAGATTTCTATGCTAAAATGGCTGCAGTCTTACTAGGTAAGCTGCAATCAGATTTCTATGCTAAAATGGCTGCAGTCTTACTAGCTAAGCATCAGATTTCTATGCTAAAATGGCTGCAGTCTTACTAGCTAAGCATCAGATTTCTATGCTAAAATGGCTGCAGTCTTACTAGCTAAGCATCAGATTTCTATGCTAAAATGGCTGCAGTCTTACTAGCTAAGCATCAGATTTCTATGCTAAAATGGCTGCAGTCTTACTAGCTAAGCATCAGATTTCTATGCTAAAATGGCTGCAGTCTTACTAGTTAAGCATCAGATTTCTATGCTAAAATGGCTGCAGTCTTACTAGCTAAGCATCAGATTTCTATGCTAAAATGGCTGCAGTCTTACTAGTTAAGCATCAGATTTCTATGCTAAAATGGCTGCAGTCTTACTAGTTAAGCATCAGATTTCTATGCTAAAATGGCTGCAGTCTTACTAGTTAAGCATCAGATTTCTATGCTAAAATGGCTGCAGTCTTACTAGTTAAGCATCAGATTTCTATGCTAAAATGGCTGCAGTCTTACTAGTTAAGCATCAGATTTCTATGCTAAAATGGCTGCAGTCTTACTAGTTAAGCATCAGATTTCTATGCTAAAATGGCTGCAGTCTTACTAGTTAAGCATCAGATTTCTATGCTAAAATGGCTGCAGTCTTACTAGTTAAGCATCAGATTTCTATGCTAAAATGGCTGCAGTCTTACTAGTTAAGCATCAGATTTCTATGCTAAAATGGCTGCAGTCTTACTAGGTAAGCTGCCATCAGATTTCTATGCTAAAATGGCTGCAGTCTTACTAGTTAAGCATCAGATTTCTATGCTAAAATGGCTGCAGTCTTACTAGTTAAGCATCAGATTTCTATGCTAAAATGGCTGCAGTCTTACTAGGTAAGCTGCAATCAGATTTCTATGCTAAAATGGCTGCAGTCTTACTAGTTAAGCATCAGATTTCTATGCTAAAATGGCTGCAGTCTTACTAGCTAAGCATCAGATTTCTATGCTAAAATGACTGCAGTCTTACTAGCTAAGCATCAGATTTCTATGCTAAAATAGCTGCAGTCTTGCCAGTTGAGTTACTAGCAGAATCAGATTTCTATTCTAAAATAGCTGCAGTCTTACTAGCTAAGCATCAGATTTCTATTCTAAAATGGCTGCAGTCTTACTAGCTAAGCATCAGATTTCTATTCTAAAATGGCTGCAGTCTTACTAGCTAAGCATCAGATTTCTATTCTAAAATGGCTGCAGTCTTACTAGTTAAGCTGCATTCAGATTTCTATGCTAAAATAGCTGCAGTCTTACTAGTTAAGCTGCAATCAGATTTCTATGCTAAAATAGCTGCAGTCTTGCCAGTTGAGTTACTAGCAGCATCAGAATTAAATCTGTACCTAACAACAACAAAATAAAAAAGAGTATGAAACAGATTCTAGCTTTTGTTGTGTTACCTTCATTCTGAGGGTAAATGACATCATGACCAGGCAGGGGTAGGACCACATCATGTAAGCTGTAATCACTAATATTCTCCAGTGTCACTACAGTGGGATTTGGGTGGTCTGTGGAGTCAACGTTGACGGACTTGAGAAAAACAATCAGAAACAAAACACAAAGTCATCTCATTTATACCTTTTAGGTGTTGAACTTTTGGAATCATTGGATAATGCATAACCAAGATTTAGACGTGAGAACTTTTGGAATCATTGGATAATGCATAACCAAGATTTAGAAGTGAGAACTTTTGGAATCATTGGATAATGGATAACCAAGATTTAGAAGTGAGAACTTTTGGAATCATTGGATAATGCATAGCCAAGATTTAGAAGTGAGAACTTTTGGAATCATTTGATAATGCATACCCAAGATTTAGAAGTGAGAACTTTTGGAATCATTGGATAATGGATAACCAAGATTTAGAAGTGAGAACTTTTGGAATCATTTGATAATGCATAGCCAAGATTTAGAAGTGAGAACTTTTGGAATCATTGGATAATGCATAACCAAGATTTAGAAGTGATGTTTAAAAGCTTAGACTGTTGTCAATATTAGGGTGAACCTTAAGGCTGGTGTCAATATTAGGTTCAACCTTAGGCTAGTATCAATATTACATTGAACCTTTGACTGGTGTCAATATTACATTGAACCTAAGGCTGGTGTCAACATTAGGTTGAACCTTTGGGTGTTGTCAACATTAGGTTGAGAATTAGACCTTTTGGAATAGACGAGACCTTGAGTTACAAATTTCAACCAACTAAGCCAAGCTTATAAGCTAACTTGATGTGGGACTACTTGATGTTTGCCATATTCTGACTCAAAACAGACAAGAAAAACACAATGTCAAGCACACAAAAAATAATATGTAAGAAATCCATCAGAAGGAAATTTCAGTATTAAAAAGCTATCCTTTTAAATAACTTTCTTGTCTGATCTTTGATTAGTTATTTGAATAGAAAGTATTTCTACCTGTTTTGTGAGCCTCCTTGGTTATAACAAGGTCACCAACAACTACTTTACTGCCCAACTGTTTCAAACGTCTGGATGTCATTAAATTCCACACCAGCGCCTGATAACTGTGGACATACAAGAGTCGGGTGTTCCTAGAAATCTAGATGAAAAGGTGGAAAGATCGTGGGGCATATTACAAAATTAAATTTAAAACATTCATTTATCAAACATTCTCTTTGAATATTTGCAGGAGCATTTCTAGAACAAGCCTTTTTTAAAACAAAACAAAAAAGGCTTCCAAGAAAAAATATATTTGCCATTAGTTAAAATTGAACTAAAAAGTAAATGTTAAAATAAGTGAACACACAGAAAATATTTAGTTTACACTACTGGTATTTTTTTTAAAAAAAGCATTTTCATAGATGGAGCAAGTGTACAAGAATGTATGATAACCTTCTCTAAGGCATTGAATGGCTTGAGTTGATTTTTCAAAGCTGTCAAAAGATTCCTCTCCAGGCCACAATATCTCGGGGTCACTTCAAGGGTTGCTTTAGGGTCATGTGTGGCCATCCATACTTTCTGAAACTCATCTTTGGCTGGATTGTCTGCATGAATGAATAACTGTGTCAAGTGCCTTAAAGACAGTGTCTAGGAGAAATAATGAGCCACTGATATGTTTCTCAGTTACGGGGTTCACCCAAATGTTTCACAATTGAAGGGGGTTATGCAAAGTGTGGGGTTATGCACGCTTCACAAGCAAGGTATCACCAATATGTTTCTCAAGTACAGAGTCACCTGTATGTTTCTCAAGGGTAACATAATAGTTACTTTTTATCTACCTTAACCTTATTTCTCACATTTTTTAACTAAGCCCTTCATTGAAATAAGAAAACATAGAGGTTACCATCTCTTGGCATAAGGATGAGGTCTATAGCCTTGTCCCAGTCTCCATGAAGCAGCGCACTGAAAGTAGTAGAGGGGAAAGACACACTTTTATATCTTTTGGTATGGTGATCAAAATCTGTTAAACTCTTACACACAATTATGTACCTAAAAATATTTAATATACATTTACTGTCACTTATAAATTTAATTTGATACTTCACTATTCTTGATATTATAAAAGAAAATGTATTTTGGCTGAAATGATGTTTCACTATTTTGTGTTAATATGATCAAGGCTGAGTTGATTCGACGTTGATTCATTACACATCATGCAGTTGTCGTGCAGCCGAGACATCCCTTATTACTGTCCAATATTTTTAAGACTCAACGTCCTGACGGTCACTATTGATAAGACTCACCATCCTATTTTATGTGTTGGTACAGATGTGGTCCCAAATCTCTGCATGCCAAAGTAGTTGATAAAGCCCAGGGATTTCAGAGCTGACAAAGCTTTATCAATATTCTCCATGTCACCTTCAACATTTCTGGTGGGAAAAACCAGCAACATTTAGTACCTTCTATTGATCGAATGATGCAAAATAATAATAAACTGACCCTTCCTTGCTCACTGAAGCTGTGGTTTTCAATGGCATCTCGGCTGACCTGTACAGGCTCAACGGCTACTTATCACAACATCTCATAATAATTGACAGAACAAGATTATTAATATGTCACAAATCTTAGAGCTAAATTCCAAATAGACAACATGAGTGAATGCCAATACACCGCTCTGTCTTGCAGAAAAATGTCTTCCAAAAGGAAGATTTTGCACTGACTTAAATACTTTGTCTCTCTCTCAAAAGCTCAAGAATTTCTATTATGGCAATTTTTGTTTACTGTTGGATTCCTGTTTATTAAGATTGTGTTAAAAAAAAATAGTAAACCGGTATTAGATTATATTATATGCTATTGGGAGGCTCATGTTGGGTCAACTATAATAATGAATAGTTGTTGCTGTCAACTTTATTATTCAACATGATTATCATTTTTCATTTCACATTGAAAAATGTGTCTGTTGCTGGTTGTGAATCTTTGGCCTACTTAACATGGCCTGTTACATTCAGAGTTGTCCTACGTGTTTATTGAATCATTGTCTTCCTTTGGATAACCAATAGAACATTCATTATTCAGATTTGTCCCCTTTGTCTCTTGCTAGTTATTTATTCTTATGTCATATGGTAAATAACATGTACTATATGTGTATCTTTTCATGTATTACCCTATTTCGATCTCTATTTCTTTTTACAATACACTTAGAACCAATAAAGTTTTAGTATATCACAACATCATTTCCTTGGATTTGTAAACCAAATTTTAAACTGTAATGCCACCAACTACCCACTTGGCACACAGCTACATATATACATATAATATTCATCCCATCCTGATTAGCTGGTGTAAAAAGATGTTAAAAACAAATACAGAGAGTAAAATTATTTTACTGTAAAATAGTACATTAATAATATTTTGAATCTTTTTTTTTTACTTATGCACTTTGTGGTAACCAGAGTAACATGGTAATTAAAGCTAAATTTATGTGTAATCCTTTGAACAAATATTGACAAGTGATATTCACCTTAAAACTATTGTGAACTCATTTCCAGAAAGTTGTCCAAGCTTGAGAGGTTCAGGAACATATCTACAAATAAATTTTGGACTTTCACAATTGTTAAATGCAACAAATTAACAACTAATCAGTCTCTGCATTATGGTAGGAAATCTGGTAACACTGTTCAGCTTTGGAAATGTAAAATAATTAACAATAGTCTCATGGACTTCTTCTTTTCAAGTGCTAATTCGTCCCCTTAGAATAACAATGTTCTAAGTCGATTTTTTGAAAAAAATGAGTTATTACCCCTGTGCAACAGTTAATCAACCCATCTATCATGTTACAACAGTTAATCAACCCCTCTATCATGGTACAACAGTCAATCAACCCATCTATCATGGTACAAAAGATGAAAGCTTTATAATGAGCCGCTTTTGCAGGAAATACAAAATAACAAGGTTCTAACGTGAGGTTGGCCTTTCACTTGAGAATAACAAAGTTCTAACGTATATTTTTAGTGTTAAAGGGGTACCATTTATGGTGAACCAATAAAAATTCAGATTGTAAAATGAGTTCGGTATCTTCAGCCAATCATTAGGCTTGTTATTTACCGTTACCTCAATGGTCACGGATTGTTTACATTCAAAATGGTGGACGCCTCAATAGAAAATAGGGGATTTGAGGAGAGAGACTGCAGTCCATTTAGCACAATATAAAATGAGTAAAACAAAGTAGGGTTAAACCTGAAAAAAGGAACCCATCAAAACAACAACAAAAAACTACTTTATTTGTTGCGTTCCTTTTTTTCAGATTTAACTCTACTTTGTTTGACTCATTTTATATTATCACTAGCAAATTCAAATAGTTTTTTAAGCTCCTCGTCAAGCGAATATGATACTGATAGCAATGCTAATATTATCCATTGCCATGTGAAGTGTTTTCACCACTAAGTCTAATAAGAGTCCTTAAATTTTTAAACAGGAGAAACCTTATACAATCATACAGACGAAGCATTGAGGCCAAATGACTTCAAAGATTTTAAAACACATACTAAAATTTAGTCTAAAGTACAGATTGATAAGTTTCAATACCAGAGTGTAAAATATTCCAAAGTATGTGTACCGAAAAATGAAATTTACAAATGAGCCGTTGATTGATTGTAGATTTAGCCATATAGAGATAGCATTTCAAAACATCAATATAAGAAAACCTAAAAGCACTAGAAGTTGTGTCCCATTTAAATCAACGCAAGTATTTTTGCCTCAAACAAAGATAGCAATGTCATCTAATAAACTGTCTGCAGCTAAGAAAACAGATTTTAGAGACGTGATCAAGTTCATGCCAGAGTTAGACAGGCAATACTATAGCAACATAAATATGTAACTTGTTGTAGTATGGTAGCTGGTTTTGAATGAAAATAATGCAGAAACTTCAAGTTTGTGTGTAAACCATCTTATTGTCTAATTAATGTTTATGTTTCAGTTTGTAATAATAAATTAATACAAATAAACTATATACAAGGAAATATTTTCTATCTTTACTTTAAATATAATTGTTAAATGATTTTGTCTTGTAAGTATTTGTGATCTAAATAATGAATATGTATTTATTCTTGAAAGGAACTGCTTAAATTTAAATCATAGAGTTTAATAAACAGAACCTTGTTATTCTAAAGTGAAATAGCATTTTCAGAATTACAAGGTTCTATCGAAAATTTCAAAAATTCATATAAAATCAAAATCAATACCTAGAACCTTCATTTGAATGAACCAACCTTGTATTGATAATATCAACAAACAACAACAACTTCGATCAAAACGTTTTTAGTTTATACAAACCAAACATCAAATTTTCAAACGCGAATATCTCGGTTTGATCAAAAGGTCACATAGAACATTGTTATTCTAAGGGGACGAATTGTATAACTTTTGACACATTTAACTTAAAAACTTAAAAGAAGAGCATCATGAAAATAAGGAGAGAAAATAGATTTGGCTTGGGAAGGAGGGACAGTTACGATGTTTTGTCACTGGACATTAAAAAAAAATCCTCTGGAAATAGATATACCTACCGGAAATTCCCAAGTGCCATGTTGCGAAGCACTTTGTTAAGAAAAACCAATTTTTTAGGATGTACCCTGGAAGAAGAGGGAAAACAAATTATCTTATGATTAATCAAAATATTACAAGTGTTGCTTTAATTTTTAATTTTTTTTTTTTATCAGAATAGTGGGAGCTTGGTTATTTTGCAGGATTTTGTGAATAAACAATATTAATTTAGCATTACAATGTAATCGATAATCTTAAAGAACTATTCTGTTGTAATTTCAGTCATGCAGTTACTGAGCTCAGACATCCCAAAAGTTTACTTATAGTATAATAGTGACAACTACATTACATGCATACATCCCTACATACCTGTTAGCTGTGACTTCCTGAGATGTTTTCGCTCTTTTGTCTTTCGTACCAGCATACTGAAATAAGCTCTCTTTTAACCTGTAATAACAGAAAATCCTAAGGCATGTAATTTGTTTCCATTATGTTGAATTGAAAACATTATCCCTTAATATGGCCTCGTTATACTTAACATATGTGTATACCAAATAGTATCCCTCAATATGGTCTCATTATGCTTAACATATCTCAATAAAATAATTCAAACATATTTCTATTAAGGTTAAAAAGAGGGCCTAAATTGCAATAATTTCTATGTGGGACCAGCCTGGTGCATTTTTTTTTTACATCAGGTCTGTATATTTTGAGAAAATACGAGGTGGGTCCAAGTGTTACAAAAAAAGAGTTAACTTCCCATTTTATAGAATATATGCGGTTTTAAACAAAAGGCCTACAGACAGTCCTACACCCTATCTGCCGGCCTTTAAACAATGGTCCTAAAGACAGTCCTACACCATACCCGTGTCTCTTTATTGATAAATATAATAGCTGGCTCCCCATAAAGAAAAAACCTTTTTACAGGAGTTCAGATGTCCCACATGAAAGCTTGCTCGGTGACAAAGACTATAAAACATTTGGATTAAGGGGAGGGGAGCCAGTTGTGGAGAGGAAGCAGAACAAACCAGAAGTAAATATGTATAAGAGATAGTGACACAGGATGGGAGGGATGATAATTGCTGCAGTGCAAAAATAAGATATGTAACTCAAAAAAAGGAGAATTATTTTGTTTTCTAGATCTAAGTGAAAATACACTTCATTCAAATGATAATACCATGATCAGCCTGCCAAAAAGTCCTATGGAGTCAGCAGTATTGTTTTACAACAACTTATTTATTTATCATAACTTCAGAGTTCAATACAAAGAAACTAAAACCTATGTCCATAGAATTATGTCTGTCTTGTTCTCCACCCTCCCTATCACATTCTCTCTCTCTCTCATTTACCACTTTCTCTAACCTTTTTGCTCAAGTAACTTTCCCTCAGTAATTGAAACCAATTATTAATCATCGCACAGACACTGAATTGCAACTTACTTCAAAGTTTTAGCTATTAACCCTATGGCATCCATAGTATCTTTATTTTCCTTATACAGCACAAATTTCACAAAGGGACATAATTTCTGTGACTTTGGCCATTCCTCCCTGTTGGAACCTCTGGAGTTACCTGTTCAAAAAATGTAATAATATCTATAATCTAAAACTGAAATTTGAACCATGTCCACTATGGTCATGTTTAAAATTTTCTAAATTAAATTACAGTTAAAATGCCTCTTTTGCATTACAAGCAATTGTTATAGTTACAAAATTAAATATCTTTTTTTTTTTACACACAGGCCACTTCAAGCACCTTCAGAGTGGTAAAAGTCTTATATAAGGAGACAACTGATTTTATGTTAGGGGCAATGAAACTACCAATAATGCAGATATTTACTAATAAGAGACATTGTGACAATTTATTTCATAATGAAAATGCACATGCTGAAACTATATCTAAGGTTTTCAAAAAATGTTAAAATTATTTTTTGAATGCATTATCTAAAAAAAAAAAATTATGAAAAAGAAATCCTAGTAATATATTGCTCTGAATCTATCCAATTTATTCAATGTACCATGAATTGGTATCAAGATTTTTTTTTTTTTTAAATTTTATATTTTTTTTTAAATTTTCTTAACAATAAAAAAAAATTTTATTTAAAAATTTTTAAAAAAATTTAAAATTTTTTTTTTAATAGATAATATAAAAAAAAAAAATTATGAAAAAGAAATCCTAGTAATATATTGCTCTGAATCTATCCAATTTATTCAATGTACCATGAATTGGTATCAAGATTTTTTTTTTTTTTTAAATTATATATTTTTTTTTACATTTTCGTAACAATAATAATAAAGTTTATTTGAAAATCACGCTTCATCCCCAAAGGCTCGATGCGAGGTACAAAGTCAACCATATCAAAATAAAGTTTTCATGTTATTTATGTTTAACAAATTTTCATTTCAACAATTTGTATTTCCCGAGCTGATGCCATTGTTTATTATGTTACATAAAAACAAAGATACCGGAAAAAGATGGCTACACTATTCAGTCACTTACACTTTGATAAGGTACTATTTTATATGTTGGCTTATGAGCAGGTAATACAATTTTCAGGCTTTTCCCATACAAAACTAGTGTGAGCGAATGGGCTTTAGAACAAGTATCTTTGTTAGTCCGTTTTTAAAATTGGTGTATAAGCAGTTTTGATTTTAAGATTGCTGCTCCTAGTTTACCAGTTTTAAAAAAAAATAGCAGGGTCTTAAACATTTTCAGAAGCAATAAAAGTATATATAGTTAAGGGTAATAAGGGGAGAGACTGCAATCAGGTTAGACAGGACAATATATACAAATGATCACATTTTATAGGCGTATAGAATATTTGAACTTGATTATCTCTAAATTTGTAATTTGTGACTTAAGTACTTGTAAGGTCTTCAATTGTACTTTTCCTCCCTAACTTCACATCAGTTCTAATAATGTCCTATTACCGCACTAAATATAAGCCATTCAAAAATTTTAAATGAGCAAGTAATAATTGTTTTGGAATATTTCCTGTAGGAGATGTGCCCTTCCATAAAAAAGAGGTCATACTACCACATCAGTTTTGCCACCCATTTGACGCACCTGTTTTCCATAAGGCCTGGATAATTTTCTGGCCATCTTTTTCCAAAGTTTTTGTCTCTAGCTGAGTGAATCTTGTCTTAATGCAGATATGTATTTTGGTGCGAAGATCTTTGCATTCAGGTGCCTAAACAAAAAGTAGATATTATTTTGGTTTAAATTATTGAACTAACTTCCAAATAACTCTAAAAATTCATGGTAACCTAATGCTAAATCTCAGGTAATCGATGATGACTCACAGTTATGTCAACAGTCTTGTTTTTATCAGCTTCCTTGACAAGTTTCTCTAGCTTCTCCAAGTCTTCATCACAGAGACAATCTGGTTTTTCTTTGACAGGCTGCTGTTGAATGATAAATAATAGGGGTTCGAATATAAATTTATTGTGGTACAAATATAATTTGTAGGAACATGGTTGAAATCATGTACACATGAATATGTGCCAAGTCTAATCTACATGATGGATGACAGTAATTTATTACAGTATCTATAATTATAATGCAGAGAATAACAGCATTTCATGTAGTTACGAATTATGCCCCTCTTCACTTATTATTTGTATTTGATGCAATAACATAGTTCAATGAGTGTTCATTTTTTCAATGAGTGGGAAAAAAAGTAGAACTACGGTTTTAAAAAAATAAATAAACAATAATAATTACCAGTATTAAATCATATCTTATCACATAGAATAAACTTTATTGTAATTAATAAATATATAATATAATTAATTACCTTCAGCTAATTATAAATAAATGTTTGCATGTTAATCTCTAATATCCAGGTAAGTCTAATTTCAAACGGAACAGCCCTTTTTTTAAATTTTGCATACCTTTTGATCTTCTGTGTCCTCTTCTGGGACTAGTAGGTTAGTCAAGTGGACCACACATCCTTCTTGATCAACTTCATTTACAATAAAATCTGAATACCTGAAAATACATAATTTATTACTCTCTTGTCTTTTTTTTCAGATAATTTTTAGCAAGAATTCTGCATGAAGTCTAATTTGTGTGCTTTTTCTAACATTTATAATTTAAACCTCTATGAAGATTTCATTCAATTAACTTAAAAAACAAAAGATTTTTTAAAAAATGCAGAAAGAAAGACAAAGTACCTCTGTTTTATAATAGCATTAAATCCTGTATGTGTACCGAGATATTCAGTAATGCCTGCCTGCACTTCAGTTAATGGTAGTTGCTTTACATTTACAGTATCAGTAATGAGAATTTCATCCTCCACAGAATGACAAGTTGCAAATGCTTTTCCATTTGTTTCATCTTGTGCAATAGTTTTTGTCAGGCATTCAGATTTTTTATTAAGTTCCTCAGAGTCAACAAAATCTAATTTTGATCTTTTACAAATTGGCCCAGAGTCACTGTCTCCATCACTCAAACATGTATGATCTTCTATGATACTCTCCATATTTTCCAACTCAAATTGATCCAAGGCTCTTTTCCTCTTTGATGAAAAGCTTTAAAGGAAGGATAAAAAAGTTAATGAGTTGAGGCCTTGCATTATAATCATATCTAAATAAATGTTATTTCTATTCCGGTTAAATGCAAAACAGTGACAACTCTCCATTTTAACAATTTAAATTTCTCTCTCTTTGAAATATCTATTATTTAAGGTTTTTTTTCTTTGCAAATGTTTGATATATATTTATTTAAAGATAAAAATGGACTGGTAGTTACAGTACAAATGAGACAAATAAATAATACCATGTGCAAGTGAAGAAAATCTATTACGGTACATTCAATGCACCCATGCCATATGACAGGCTGCATAGTTATTGACAGGCTATGAATTTGTGGGCAATTTGAGTGGCCAAGGCAATATGGAACAAAACGATTTTGACTTTATTTCTTAACATATATAGTTTCATCTCATATATATTGAGTTACCCCTACAAAACATCTTAATCTTATATTTGCAAAGCCTGAGGTTATATTATGGATTTAAACACACAAAAATTGTAATAACTGTATTACAGCGTATATTGTATGTTGTTTTATCAATGCTTGTTCCCCTGAACTTTTTTATAAAATTAGACATGCCTCTCCCCTGTCTGATAGTGTTTTTTTTTTTTAATTCTGTCACTAAATCAAAGTAAATGTATACCTAGACCTAACCTGAACCCTAAATGTATCCCTAAACCTACCTGAACCCTAAATGTATCCCTAAACCTACCTGAACCCTAAATGTATCCCTAAACCTACCTGAACCCTAAATGTATCCCTAAACCTACCTGAACCCTAAAAATTAAAAATGAAGTAAAAATGTATCCCTAAACCTAACGCCTAATTCAATAAACCAAAAGACGCCGTGGCATTCTTTCTTAATTTTAGCCATGTTTTTTTTTCTTCAATTATTTTGGGATAGACCAACTCTGTTAATTGAGACATGATGAGCTAAAATAAAAACTGGGCAGAAAGTTGGGCAATCCTCCGAAGTCTGGTCTCAAATTATTTCCAATGATTACTCCTTACTTAAAAGTCTTGGGCATCATTCTGTTTTGAAATTGATGTTTGCGTTAGTGGACGATGTTGGATGGAAGTTGTCAGCCGCCGAGATGCACAAACACTCGAGCGCACTATCTCTAACCACGTGTTACCAGGGACAGCTATCATCACGGATGGTTGGTGAGGATATCAAAATGTCGGTCCGCTCAACAACGCTGTCATTCTGCACGCGCGTAAATTTGTTGATCGAGTAGACAGTAGATCAGGAAATTCACACATAAATTATTGAAGGACTTTGGATGCAAGCGAAACGTAAACTCCGCTATCAGAGTGGTACTAGTCGCAGTCTGTTTGCCAGCTCCTTGGAGCCTTCAGTGGCGCAACAGTCACAAGCAGAACGTTTCTGGCTGCTATTTGCAAATGCTATACGGTCTAAACGACTATGCACCAGTTACAATATTTAGTATTTCGAAGTGGATGCGTACACCGCGGCGGTGTACCTAGCGAAACCATCGGCTTTGGCCTGGGTACACCGCGGTGGTGTACCTAGTGAAAGCGTGGGCTTTGGCCTGGGTACACCGCGGCAAAAATTTACCATTGGCCTGGTTTTAAGATATATTTGTTAGGGAAGATCTTGTGTGGTCAAGTGGTAGAGTGGACGCTTGGGGATAATATAGGTTGAGATCAATTCTCAGTAGGGATCTAGTTTTTTTCCTCCCATTAAAATATTTTGTAGCAATTTAAACAATTTAAATATATGTTTAAATATTATATTAGAAACACTTTATATATTTATTTATATATATAAGTGTTTCAACAAGTTGTACCGGCCTTTGACTTTGAAAATACCGGTAACTTTAGTAATAAGACTTTAGACATTTGAAAACAAACTTAAAGTTTCTGAAAGCGCATGTAATACATGATGAACATGTATAACAGAAATATTATGAATACTAAGTGACTGATATTCTCTTGTATTTCAACAATCTTCGTGTAGTTGAATATTTACATTTTACTTTTACGAACACCCAAAGAAAATACCAGTATGAATAATATTCATGCATATGAATATTAATGTCATTAATGTGCATGGTCGAATTTCAACCATCTTGCTTTCACTATGCCTTATGCATTGGCAAAATGTACATACGATATCAAAGGTTCATTCACAACACTCAGTCTCACAGGAAATATTTTGAAAACGCCTCGATTTTAGAAACTTGCGGAGCGCTAGCAAACTGTATAGCAAAGCCATAGGTCTGCGTTTACCCTTTTCATGACGGAATTTGTTTCCAGAATGGCATGGCATGAGCTATTCTCAGGGTAAAACGCAACGTTTTCTCACAGAAACCATTGCACAATGGGCCTTGGACAGGATTTGCACTATGTCAAAGTTTTTGTATTTGTTGTTGTTGTTTTTTTTAAAGAAATCGATCCTTGCCGGGGAGTGGGGGATGGTGGTGAGTTATGGGCAGAGGCTTAACCAAAAAGGGGGCGTTCACAAATCACGGCTCAGGATAGGGGTTGTCCACAAAGGACGTCCTCACAACAAACTTACCTTTTGCATCCCCTCTCCCTCTGCCAGCATTTTTTTTACTAATGTGTAATGCCAATGTAAAACTAAATCAATGATATTTAATTATTGTTAAAAGACTTTCAAATAACTGCAGTGTTTCGTATTTATCATCTTACTGCTGTTTTGTGTTGACACGCGCTTGGTATCACAATGACAATGCCTCGGACAACTTTAACTTCACGACTTCATGATCAATGTATGAGTATGTGATTCTCTTCCCGTAGTGTATTTGTGGCGTAATTATATCTT